CACAGAAAAGAGATGTAACTGTTGACTATAAGTCTCTTAAGGAGAGATATATTCCTTAATTTACTTCCCAGAACCACTAATGGATGTAAAGCCACCTGTTGACCACATCAGCGCTGAGCCAGAGTTATAAAATGGGCATGGCATTAAGACAGGAAATCCTGCCCAGCCAGTGTGGCTCAGTGGTTGAGCGTCGACCCATGCACCAAGAGGTCGCTGATTCGACTCCCAGTCAGGGAACATGCCCAGGTTGTGGGCCCGATCCCCAGTGGGGGGCATGCAGGAGGCGGCCAGTTAATGTTCTCTCCCTTTGATGTTACCATCTCTCTCTCCCTCTCCCTTCGTCTCTCTCTAAAATCAATAAAGAAAAATAAAAAAAAAAAAGACAGGAAATTCTGAGTTTGGGGTTCTAATTCTGCCCAGGTCTGACCCACCCTGCCCTTGGTGCTAAAGGGGAAATAAAACATACTGGTGACAGAAATACCATCCAGGGCAGGGCCCAGCAAAGAGCCATTGAATATAGGGCTATTTTTAACATTAGTCATGGGTACTTGCAGGAACCACATGAAAGTTGTCACCTTCCTTTCTCCCCACCTGGCTGAAGCCCAATTCCTAAAGAAAGGAAAACTTGAATTAAAAACTTACTTTGGGACTTCCTTTTTTCCCTCAGCATCTGACTTCCTGCTATTTCCCCTTCAAGGACTGACTCATTTCTCCTTCCTTGACCTTATTTTTGTGTACTTTTTTGATAAAGGAAACCTGGCTCCAAAATATCTGTATGTCTACCTTATAATTCCACATTTTAGTTCTCATGACCTTGTTTGCTTTTCTCTCTCTAGTTTATAATGATTTATGCTAATTTATCATAACATGTAGGATCCTGTGGGTTTATCAGAGAGAGTCTGCTTTGGTGTCCATGACTCTGAACTCTTGGAAGGCAGGTTGAAGTGGGGGAACCCCTTGAACCTGGCTGGTGCGCCCATTCCCCAGCTGCTGTGAGTTAGCTGCTAAAGCCTCACACCTGCACCCCTTTCAGACCTGCCCTTGGATGAAGACTGCAAGGCTCACCTACAAGGTTATCTGAATGGCCAGAGGCCAATGACAGACTGAAACAGGATCTGTAAGCCAGCCTGTTGTCTTAGTAAAGGACTAACTAGTGTGTGTACCTGCCCCTCCCCAAGCCCCCGCCTATTGGGATCAGGCCAAGACCATATCCCTGCCCTACCTGCATCCTCACTCCTCTCTCCTGAGAGTTCTCCCAAAATAAAGCACTTTGACAGCTTCTCCATCTCAGACTCTGCTCCAGGAGAACTGACCGAAAACACTAATACAGTGGAACCTTGGTTCTTGAAATTAATTCCAGAAGGCTGCTTGAGAATAAATTTGTTTGACCACTGAATCATTTTTTTTCCATTAGAAATAATATAAATTAAATTAATTCATTCCAGACCCCCAAATGATTCCCTGATTTAATCTCTCATATACATACAGTATGTGTCTAATGTACTCTTTATTAACAAACACTTCTTTTTAAAAATTTATCGACCCACCCCTTACTAGCCTTAAACAAATCACTTTCAACACTTATTCCAGGGGTGTCTTTTAGGAAGTCAGCATGCAGCCTCTTCACCTTTTCACATATCATTGCTTCTAAAATGCTGTCACTGGCTAACTGCTTTTCATTTATCCAAATCAAAAACAGTTTTTCTACCTCTTAAACTGCCTGTGATTGTCCGACTGGTGTGGCTCAGTGGTTGAGCATCAACCCATGCACCAAGAGGTCGCCAGTTCGATTCCTGGTCAGGGCACATGCCCAGGTTGTGGGCCCGATCCCCAGTGGGGGGCATGCAGGAGGAGGCCAATCGATGTTCTCTCTCATCGATGTTTCTACCTCTCTCTCCCTCTCCCTTCCTCTCTCTCTAAAATCAATAAAGAAAAACAAACAAACAAAAAGAAATTATGCTAATCATCCATTTCACAAGCAACAAACGCAAAAAACCTACAGAAATATTCACAGCACAATTTCCTGAGATGTTAACAGTGTGAGGTTTAGCAGTAAACTGACTCATATTTTTTCCTTTGTTTGTGGCCTGAGAGATGCTTTGTCATGCTGAAGTGTCAGCATGAAAGGGTTGTCTGGTTGAGTACCCAAGTTTTGTTCAAAGACCAAGAATTTTTTCCATAAACAACTTGGTCGAGAACCAAATTGTTCGAGATGGGAGACAGAGAACCAAGGTTTGGCTGTCATCATGTTTTACATTGGACTTGAGGCTCAGCAGAAAAGGCATAAGACCCCAAATCTAAGCTGCTAAGAACTGATATTCCTGTCATCAAAGACATCCCTGAGATCAAGTATGGAGTTCCTTTAGCACCATGTGCTTGGGGCTGGAAACAGGAAATGGAGGTCTTTCCATTGCACCATTGTGCCTAGATTCTTGGAAATTCATTTAATGAAATCGCCATTGAGAATGGCACGAAGTTAGCCTGCCTCCTTACCTCCCCTCTCTTCCTCTCTCTGTCTCCCTTCCTTCCTCCTCCTTTTTGTTACCATAACTGTATTAAAATGGAATTTAAAACTTTTGCCCTGGCCGGTTTGGCTCAGCGGTTGGAGCGTCGGCCTGCGGTACAGGGAGACCCGGGTTCGGTTCCCGCTAAGGGCACGCACCTCGGTTGCAGTTTGTCCCCGGCCCTGGTTGGTCGTGCGGGTGGCAGCCACTCGATGTGTCCCTTCACATTGATGTTTCTCTCTCTCTCTCTTTCTCTCTCTCTCCCTCCCGCTCCATCTGAACAAAAAATGGAAAAATGTCCTCGGTCGAGGATTAAAAAAAAAAAAAAGGAATTTAAAACTTTTTTCAATTAGGTGAGCGCTTTCCTCCTTTTTATATACTTGACACAAATGATAAGTTGGTGATACCTTCCCCATACCCTGACTCCCAGAGTTTATGCTTAGCATGAACAAATAATTTATTTTCGAAAGCAGGATCATTTATAGTGGAAAGAAATTATGCTAATCATCTATTTTTGCCTTTCCCCATTCAGTATTTCTGTGTCTCTTCTTCCTCAGTGAGAACACTTGTTCCCAACATTAACACATTTATTCATTTGCTCAGTGCATCAACACATTTAAAATAGTTTCAGAATTGTTTCATCCATATGACCACAGAAAACAAACCTACTAAAAAGAGTTCAGGATTTGGTTGCAGTTAGTGTGCAGTTACCCAAGCTGGGGGTATATATTCAAATATTGTGTTCATAATTATTTTTTTCTTTCTTCATTGTGGTTATGGTAGTCATTGAAATACAATTGGGTTCATTTCTTTCAGTTTTAGTTTTTTATCTCTTCTGATCCTTGGCAATTTCATTTTATTTTTGAAACATGTAGAACAGTAATGTGGTTCAAAAAATAAAAAGTATATAAAATTAGATTATCTGAGAAGTTTCACTCCCTCCCTTAACTCTCCTAGTCTTTGAACATCTATTTTCAATCTCTCACTGACAAACTCTCTTGTGGAAGGTCACAACGAGACTCTAGTCTGTGCCCTTGTTGAATGTAAGGATAGAAGAGGGGACAGCTACAGGCTGGAAAGCCCCAGGCTCCACAGAACAATATGGAGCATGCCATTTATTGATGCTCCTCTATAAAACTCCCCTGGCCCGGGATGCCACTTTATATATTAAAGAAAAAATTAAGAATTACAAATTGCCAGTAATAAAAACAGTCATGGGGATGTAAAGTATAGCACAGGGAATTTGGTCAGTAATATTGTAATAACTATAAATGGTGCCAGGTGGGTACTAGACTTATTGGGGTGATCACTTCATAAGTTATATAAATGACTAACCACTTTTCTTATTAAAAGTTATGCTGATTTGCATTCTTTCCCAAACATCTTTGATTCATTATAAAATATCTAAATCTCTTGACAGATAAGTTGCAAATCTTTTTCTGCATCTTAAATTTGATGCTGCAAGATGTAATAAAACTATTTTATAGGTAATGGAACTGGATTTTTGCCACTTATTATTATCACAACACTGTCACAATTTCCCAGGCACACGTAGTGGCTGGTAGTCAGACAATCAAACGAACACATACCAAGCTAGACAACACTATACTGTTTTTCAATCCCAGCTAGATAGTGATCCACTTTCATAATCACCATGGTATGCACACAAAAGAAATGGCTATTAAAAAAACCTCACAAATAAGAAGTCATCTCCAGTTACTGACATTAATAGAAACACACAATGTCCTCCTCACATCTCTCTCAGTCCTACAGAGACCTTGTACAAATCCCCATGGTCACAATATCCTTTCACGACCACTTAACTGTTGCTTTCCAAGATTGGCATATAATCTCCAACAAAAACTGCCTTACACCTATGAGAACAAAGACACACAATGGCAGAAACTATCCCATGAGTATAAACAATCCCACGCAGGGTCCCAGACAACGAATCGGACCCACAAAATCACCCAGCGCAAGACAACCCATCCGTTCAACTACCAGACCCTGCTCCAGTCTCTCGTAGCCAGGTAAACTCGAGGCCCGCTCAGGGTCATTCCCACGGACTTTACCTGGGATGCCCTGCTCACTGGAGCCTAAGTCCCTGGTCATCCTCCATTCTCATTTTTGTCTGCTCTGGACTCCAGAATGGGCTCCTCAGCCTTCGCTGAGAACCTTTTAATTCGCCCTCAGCTACACCAAAGACACCTCAGTCGCTGGGCTCGCCCAAGCCCGGAACTGTTCAGCAAAGACGAGCTGCCGGGTGGGCTTCGGCAAAGCGCCTTTGACAGCTGAGCCGAGTTGCATCCTGGGAGCCTTCCGAAGGTCCCAGTTTCCGGGAAATCTCCGGCTGTGGACTACATTTCCCAGGAGTCTCGGGGCCACGTCTTTTCGGGGCGGGGCGAGTTTTCCTGTGGAGAGCTATTGAACAGCTGGGCTCCCATAAGCCTCTGGGCCCAAACTAGTCTCGGTCCTCGGTCCCTTTCTGGTGTCTCAAGTTCTTGGACTCTGCACCGTGAGTTGGTCGCGTCCCGGGAAGTAATCAGCGCCGGGTGTGGGAGGGAGGGCTCAGTGGCTGACTCTACAGAAGGGGTTGGAACCTACTAGGGTTGGGTGACACCGGGAGGCGCTTGAGGTGTGGAGGCCCGGGTCGCGCACGGGCGTTAGTGTCCGGAGCCTCGAACCTCAAGCCTGCGTGTGCGCAGCGGCTGAGAGGGATGGTGGGTGACAGGCGGCGAGACGGCGGGCTGTGTCTCGGTGACTGGGTGATAGGGTGCGTGGCCCTTATTTGTAGGTGTGGTTCGCTTTGGCTGTGTGCTGTAAGTTCCCTCTAGACCTTCTTCGGGCCTGTCAAAGTTAAATGACTCCAGGAAAAGCCCTGTACTGAGCCATAGACTGAACATTTCAAGCGGGAAGAGCTAGTCTTGGGATGAGAACTTGATATCTGGAAGTGTCCTCGTGACAGGCTCCTGGGAAGACGTGAAGGGGAGGTCCCAGAGGTAGGGTTCCTCGAAGGGGCACCTCTCCTTGCCCCCTGGGGGCCAGCTACATGCTTCAGAGCCACTGCAACCAGACCTCAGTCCCCAAGAATTGCTGTCAACTCAGAGATAAGTTCAGCCTCCCTTCGAATTCGATTTGGTTATGTGTGGATGAAGGCAGATGTGGCCCTAGAGAGTGTTTTGGTTCTGTTTTTTCTTTTTTAGTTAAGTCTGTGTGCTTTAAGAAATGCTGGTGTCTCGCCCTGGCCGGCTTGGCTCAGCGGTTAGAGTATCCCGAGAGACCCGGTTCGGTTCCCACTAAGGGCACGTACCTTGGTTGCAGTTTGTCCCCAGCCCTGGTTGGGTCGTGCGGGTGGCAGCCACTCGATGCGTCCCTTTCACATCCATGTTTCTCTTGCGCGCTCTCTTTCTCTTTCTACTTCCCACTCTATCTGACCAAAAAAAAAAAGAAAAGAAAAGAAAAATGCCCTTGGGTGAGGATTAAAAAAATGATGAAATGCTGGTGTCTCATGATTCCTCTTTCCCCCTTACTGCTTCATGTTGCTAAGAAGAACCCTAAGGAGGAGGAAAGAATAGTTGCATATTTGGAAATCAAAGTTCAGGTGAGTTTGTTTCTTTTATATTCATATAATTACTTTTAAACCACGAGAATATTTGTTCTGCTTGGCCTGAAATATCTTTTTTTTTTTTTTTCCTCACCGAGGACATTTTTTGTTCAGATAGAGTGGGAGGGAAAGAGAGGAAGAGCGAGAGAGAAACATCGATGTGAAGGGACACATCGAGTGGCTGCCACCCGCACGACCCAACCACCCGCACGACCCAACCAGGGCCAGGGACAAACTGCAACCGAGGTACGTGCCCTTAGCGGGAACCGAACCCGGGTCTCTCTGTGCCGCAGGCCGACGCTCCAACCGCTGAGCCAAACCGGCCAGGGCTGGCCTGAAATATCTTAACTAGTAGTGTCTATCATGGGTCTTCCTTCTGGTGAATGACCTACCAGGTTGGTGCATTCCCCTTCCCAGTGGTCCCATATTATCCTTTTCTTTGGTTAATAGCTATCTGTTCGTATGGCAAAATTTTCAAATCCTTCAGTGCGTTCTCCCTTTCTAAGCGTTCTGATGGTATCGAAATATACCTCCTGGAGATTACTGTTAGAGCTTTATTTTAGATTATGACTGCTTGGGGAGATCAGTACTTAGGTAGTGTGGTGAACAAATTATTTTTCTTCTCTACCTGGTGAATTTTAAAGCCCAAGGCAAGGTAGGAGGGAATTGATAGTTTCAGTTAATAAATTTCAATGGTGTGATGCTTTTAGGAGCAGGAATGTGCTTGAGCTCAGAGCATAGGGCTTTGCAGTGTGCACCAACAAGGGCAGAGACTTTCAGGTAATCTTTTTGTAGAAATCTATAACACTGCTAAGCATAAATTGTTTCAGCTCCAATTTTGTATAGATTGTGAGAGGCAGAGAGTACTGTGTTGTGGTTAAGAGTAAGGTGCTGGCCCTGGCCTGTTTGACTCGGTGGTTAGAGTGTCAGCCTGCAGACCAAATAGTCCTGAGTTCGAGTCCAGTCAGGAGCACTTACCTGGGTTGCAGTTTTGATCCCTGGCCCTAGTCAGGGTTGTGTGGGAGGCAACTGATTGATGTGTCTCTCTTACATCAATGTTTCTCTCCCCCCCCACCCCTGCACTCTCTCTAAAAAAATCAATGCAAAATGCTCTGGATCTAGAGCATCTGGATTCAAATTCTGGTTCTGCCTGCTGTGTGAGCTAAGAAAAATGACTCAGGCTGTCCGTGTCACATCAACAAAATCAGGATAAAATAATGCCTACCTTATGGGGTTGTAATGATGTGAGATGGGTTAATATGTAATGTGAGATGAGTTAATATGATCCAGATGAGTGATTCTGGATCTTTCCCCATCAACTTTTTATAGATCAACATACGAAGAGAAATATGAAGATGATTGTGATGGGTGCTTGCAAGTTTTAAAAAGTGACCAGATGCTCAAATGGTTTAGTATCGGAAATCTTTACCTCACAAACCCCTAGAAATTGAGACAGAATTTTGGTAAATATTTATAAATTCATTTTTTAAAGTGGGCAAAATGTCTATAATTTAGTGAATTTATCAAGTGCACAGGACTTCAAAAAGATGTAGCTCCACTGGTCTGGAATAAAAAAATATAAGAGCTGGGAAGGAGCTTGTAGAAAATTAGTATCCAGTGATATGGAAACAGGTAAATTGTAGTATTTCTTGTGCTAGACTAATATTCACCTAATAAAAATTATGTTTATAAAAAATCAAAAGAAGGAAAAATGTAAATGATAACATTAAGCAAATAGTTATGAATAAAAGTACTCAAGAATATTAATTAGGAACTCTGTATGAATCCCATTAAAAAAGACAGGGTTTTGAAAGACGTTTTTCAAGGATCCTATCCAAAATATTGTTTTCATTGACCATTCAATGAAGAGGTAGAGAGGTATAGCCGCACTTGTCCAACATTTACTTTGTACCAAATATGTATGTTTTTGTTGTGTTTCTGTTTATGTGTATATATTTCCTTCCTCAGACTTTGAATGTGACTTACATAATTTGTGTTCATTCATGGGAGAATCTTGACCATGAAAGTGTCTCATTGTAGTGATGAGCTATAGCCACAGGATGTTCAAGAGCCGGTAGGTGTCATTTGTTTTCTTTTTATTAATTTATTTTTGTTACAGATGTTTCTCCTTTTTCACCCATTGACACCCTCCTCCTGATCCCACCCCCCTCCCTGCACTGTTGTCTTTGTCCATGGTTACGCTTATATGCATATAATATTCTGTGGTTTATCTCATCCCCCCACCCCATCCTCCTCTTCTGAGGTTTGTCAGTCTGTACCCTACTTCTATGTCTCTGGGCCTATTTTGTTCATCAGCTTGTTTTGTTCATTATATTCCACAAATAAGTGAGATCCTGTGATACTTATCTTTCTTTGATTTATTTCACTTAACATAATATTTTCCAGGTCCTTCCATGCGGTAGGTGTAATTTGTTTTAGGCCCTCTGATTTTCAGTGCTGAGTTTGTTTAGTTTTCTTAATGACTGCTATGTTCTCAATATTTTACATTTGGAAGTATCTTTATAATTTTGATTATGAAATTAATACAAGTTTGTTGCCCCCCCCAAATTCATTAATCCAGGAAACATAGAGAATGAAGTAAAAATTATATCCTCGTAATCATTCTTAGTGTTCTGGTGTGTGTTTATGTTTTCCTATGAGCCTATGTATCTGGTTTTGTTTCTGCAGAATAAAATCACAGTGATTGGTGATATAATTGAGTTGAAGACTCTCTAGCTTTTAGTTTGAAAATGAACTCCAACCCAGACTGGGTTTTATTTTAATCTTGAGTATATAGAAAGAAGAGGAAAGTGCCCGTGGTTCCTTTCTTATTTGAAAAATTTGAAGTATTTACAACTTTTAGGAATATAGAAATGCCATTTAAAAATTGATTACCAGGCCCTGGCCAGTTTGGCTCAACAGTTAGAGGGTTGGCCCACAGACCAAAGGGTCACAGGTTCAATTCCCAGTCAAGGGCATGTTAGCTGGGTTGCAGGTTTGATCCTGGCCCCGGTCAGGATCATGCAGGAGACAACCAATTGATGTGTCTCTCTCACGATGTTTCTCTCTTTCTCTCCCTCCCTCCTGTCCACTCTATCTAAAAAATCAATGGAAAAATATCCTCGGGTGAGAATTAATCCCCCCCTCCCAAAATTGATTACCAGGACAATAAAGACAGACTTCAGAATTAGATTAATTTAAAGGTTCCTTCCACAGAGAATAGCAATAATCTTTAATGTCTTACAAATTTCTGTTTTACAAATAATATTTCCAAGGACAGATATTAATACCAGAAGGTTGAATAAGAAGGTTATAGTTTTAAATATTCAAATAAGGCAACAATTTGTACAGAAGAACCAGATTGAGACTCTGGTTAATGTTCTCAGATCGACACATAATTGGATTATATTGTTTGAGCCAGTTTTATGGTGCCTACTTTTGTCTCTTCATCTGCAGCTTCTGGAAGGAGGGAATATTTTCTCTATATCTTTTTAAGAATCTGTTTTGCTCATCTTATAATTTAGGAAGAATAGAGGGCTCAGGGCTGGGCTGTGGAATTTTAGTTAGCATTGTAAGAAAGCAAGCCTGAGAAGGATAGATTTTATTATGAGAAAAATGGAAAGAATGGCATTAACTTTATAACAGTACAATAAGGGACAGGACTCTTTTAAAAATATTTATATTGACTTTAGAGAGAGAGAAAGAAACATCAATCAGCTATCTTCTGCATGCCCTCTACTGGGGATTGAACCAACAACCCAGGTATGTGCCCTGACTGGGATTCCAACCGGTAACCTTTTGTCACATGAACCGATGCTCAGCCAACTGAGCCACACCAACCAGGGTGGTGTAGTAATCTTTTTATTTTCACTAATAATGACTAAAACTTATATTAAGCTATTATTGTACACCATTTTATTTGGTCTTTCTTACTTAATCTTCAATGCAACCATCTGTAGTAGATACTGTTTTTACCCCTTTTTTATTTAATTTCTCAACAGAGGTGTTGAGAAATTGGTAACCGTCAAGTTCAAGTCTGACATCAGAGTTTTTATCTTAATTTCACATACACTTCACACATTATGTATCCTTTAAAAAACTTGCTTGTCTCACTAAGAAATTGATTATGCATGTCTTAATCAGTTAATGTGGACCAGTACTATCACAACTAATGAGGGTAGAAAGGGCCATAATTTATTAAACCTTTTGCCCCATATTATATAGTTTCTAACTCTTATTTATCTAAAATGATTTTTGGTTGAATATTCTGGTTTATACATCTTGTGTATTTCCCTAGCTATTTAAGGATACATTTCTGTAAATGAAATTTTAGGTAAAAATTTGTCCTAAATATAAAACCCTGAGAAAGTAGTACTTGGGAGGTAATACAATGACTAAAAGACATAGTTGTTACTTTTAAGATATAGAAGACAAACTAATGAATAAATGTGGGGCAAGCAGCTACAAAGGCCAATAGGCAATTCAGATGACCTATCTTAGGAACTCATATTAAGGTAATTATAGGCAGTAATTATTAGATCATGACCAGCGTTGTGGAGGCAAATGGGATTTATCCTGTGAGTTTCATACCTTATAGTTTTTATCCTACTAATTTTAGTTGCAAAGTGACACTAATAGGAGCAGGAGATTCAGCAGTTACCTGGAGGGTATGATGTCTAAAAAGACAAGTTCAGATACAAAATAAACCCATCTGTCAGAAGACATGAAAAACTGGATCAAGACCTCAATATATCCATTTTTTCTAGGTAAGACAAACATAGAAATCATATAGTTAGTATAATGCATGGCCATCATTGCAATAATTATGCAGAACGCCTAAACAAAAAGATAATTATGATAATAATACATTATTATATATAGCTATATAACTTTCCAAACGTTTTTCCATCTATTGATGTCTGATCATCAGTCTTTCTATATTGATATATACATAAAATTTTAAAATGTTATTATACTGTGTACATCATGTAACCTATTTTTTCTTGTGACAATAGATCTTGATTATTTTCCCCAACTTAGCATAGTTTCATAGTGTTCCATTGCATGGATGTTCTGAATGCATTAAGTCAGATATTTGGGCATAGGCAATTGCCTGAGCAATTGTTTGGATATCCTGTCTGCTCCTATGTCTTGACCAATTTTCTAAAGTCCTGAGCTCATGAAGGATGTTTTAGTCTTGGGCCATGTGCCCATTCTCAGTCCTGACAGGTGGGAATGGAGGGAGGAAGGTCTGATCTGGGGAGGACTGAGTAGTCCAATCTCAGGCTCATAGCAGCATCTTCAGAATTGGGTAGTACAAGAAGCCTTCCTGTTGAAGGACCTGGGTTGTTGTTGTTTTTTGTTAATCCTCACCCAAGGGTATTTTTTTCTATTTAGAGAGAGTGGAAGGGAGGGAGTGAGGGAGAGAAAGAGAGAAACATCAATGTGCAAGAGATAAGATTGGATTGGTAGCCTTCTGCATGCACCCTAACTGGGGCTGGGGATTGAACCTACAACCTAGGTACGTCACCTTGACTGGGATTCAAACCTGCCATGCTTTGGTGCTTAGGCTGATGCTCTGATCTCTGAGCCACACCGGCCAGGGCAGGACCTGGGGGTTTTAGGTGAGAGTTTAGATTTCACATATGGTATATGGGGTTTGGATTAGCTTGAGTGAGGATGGGATCACTTGAGATAGGATGGGATCAGTTAAGCACACTTGATCTAAAGCTCTTTTTTTCCTTCCTCAGCTCTGCCTTTCTGGACTCTGTGCTTCACCAGTAGAGGAACCTCATGGGACACTAATTAGTTCTTGCAACTATAGAACCATGACTGATGTAAGTTGGTATTTCTCTCTCTTTGAAATACAGTGATTTTTAGTTCATGTGACTCTTTTCCTTAATTATACTGAAGCTTTCTACCCAACAGAATCTCATCCCTGAACCCACTTCTCATTTCCTCCTTTTTCAGTGAAGGATGGTGCCAAATACCCCAGAGCCCTCCTTATGTGCCTTTTCCAGTCAGTGTCATCATATTCATTGAACATGTTACTCAACATCTCCTGCATGCTCAGTTTTCTGTCAAGACCAGTAAAGGAATGGGGTCTTTTGTGAGAAATACTTGAGCTTCTGTCGAAGAAGAAGAAAGATAGTTAACAATTAACATACTTTTACTCGTATACAAGGAAAACCAATAGTAGGTCAATATTATCTATCAAAGCACAAACAGGATTTATAAAAGAGAAGGAGGAAAGAGAGAATGAAAGACTGTAGACATTTTGAAAATACCAGTTTTTTCTTTTCTGTCTAAGATGCTGATTGGCTGGAGCTAGGAAAGAAGCCAGTCAGGATACTGTTCTCAGACAGCTGGATGGTCACCAGGAAGGCAGTTTCGGTTGTGCATTCTGTGACAGAGATTTGGTGTTTTATTGTGGCATGTCCATGGCAGCTGTCTTGGGTGGTACTCTTTGTTATCACTTCCAACTTTGTGCTACCATTTCCCTTATCAGAATCTCTTATTCCCTTGTCAAGTCTGTGGTATGAGTTAGTGATGAGGGTCTCATTGAAGCACACAGGAAAACTTGGAATGTCTTCACAGACCTGAGTTTTCCAGAAGATTCAGGTGGAATTTGGGATTTCTTGGTCTCAGCCTAAGTTTATGTGTGATCACATGTTTTGGAAGGCTTTCAGGATTGGAGGGGGAGTGAGTGGGTCTTTCCGAGGATTCCCTAATTGATGAACACCAGTGTCAGCGTCCATTTTGTCATTGATCAGGACATGCAGGTCTTGGGCAACATCTGTTATGTACAGTATCCTGTATCAATATCTTTCAACTCAGGAACAAGGAAAGTGTTAGGCAATGGCTGGTTGATGGTAACAAGAAGATGATCTAGATTTATAAACACAATTCCAAGAATTAAGGAAATCTTTAGAAGTTTTGTTGAATCTAAATGTGTAAATACAATAGAGTTGTTAATCTCATATATCCAAATGATGAATTGTATTGTAGCTAATAAAACATGTATGTGTTCATCAGAATAAGAAACAGTTCTTACAATGTAATCTTAACGGAATGATTTACTTGAGGTTTAATGATAATCCTTAATGGAAACCATTTTTCTGAAATAGAGATTTTATAATGCATTTGGAAAACATTTTTCATGTTTCTTTTCATATTTCTTAAAGGAAAAGATGGTTTAGCAGTTCACATTTATAAAGAATGTATGAGGCAGGCACTTAGCAGGGTGTGTGTATGTATACACACCTAAAAACCTCCTATTCTCCCCTCCACTATTTTTCCTTAATAGAAGAGAAACTGGGATTTCTTTTATATATTATCAGACAGGTCTGGAGAACTGAGTAATCTTACAGTATCCAGGAAGATTTTTTTCTGCTATAACACAATTCTTCTAGAACATGTAGACACTCTGCTTTAGTCATAGTAATTTCCTCACTTTTTCCTACTCATTTGTATCACATTTTCTTCTTCTTGCAGTTTATCCTTCATAACCTCCTTTTTCCTCTTGAAAATATTTTCTTAAATTCTTAAATTTCTTTAATTTCACGAGTAATGTGTGGATTTTTGGTTTTAGGGGTTGGTGACTTTCAGGGATGTGGCCATCGACTTCTCTCAGGAGGAGTGGGAGTGCCTGGACCCTGCTCAGAGGGACTTGTACATGGATGTGATGTTGGAGAACTATAGTAACTTGATCTCACTGGGTAAGGTCATCTGCCTGAAATCATGTAGAATCTCCTCTTTGCAACATCAGCTTTCTTCACTGGGAATTACGGGGCTATCTTTGAAGAAACCAGGTGAATGTCTTCTTCCTGTTCTCAAAGGAATGTTTTGATATTTGTTGGGTTAGAAATGGGTTCATTGAGCACCTTGATCTTCCCACCCCTCAGTGAGCTTCTCACTTTCCTCTGGCCCTTCCTGCAGTGAATGCTCTCTCTTCTTTAATGACCAACAAGCTGGATTTATATTATGGGGCATTTATTTTATAACCATTGTCAGAGAAACCAGGTTTCAAACTGTGTTTAACATCAACATTTCTATAAATGATCTGTGTCCTTGCTACTCAAAGTGTGGTTCTTTTGTTTGAGGAACTGTAAGAAGGCCAGAGCAAAGCAGTGAAGGAAAGAGTACCAAGAATTAGTGAGGAATATAAGTAGGACCCAGATGATAGCCAATTTATTTGGTTTAGGGGAAGAAGTAGATTGTTTTCTCAGTGATTGGAAGCCATGATTTGGTTTATATGGGGTTTTAACTTTTTTATTGTTAAGTATTACACAAATAAGTAACATCAGCTTCTTCTGGGCTGGTTAGAAATTCAGCTTGTCAGGTCCTACCCCAGACCTGCAGGGCAGAATCTGAATTTACACAAGGTCCTTTGGTGATTTTCATGCCCATTAAAGAAGCCCTGCTCCTTGTTCTTTTCTGACCCACATGCAGGGAGTATAGCTAGGAACAGTGTCCTGATATACTCTGACTTTCAAAAGAGTCTCTTCTCTTCAGATAAGGCTGGATTGAATGAATATAATATGTTTCTTACTAAGCAAATGCATTCCTTTATTTACAACAAATTTTGAGTTAAAAGTTACAATCTGAGCTAACTCCTAAAAAGGCCCATGAAACTTCTTGTTTTCCTCTTAGCAAAGTAACAACAGTAACAATAATATTAATAGTTAACACTGTACTTACTATAAACCAGGCTTTGTTTTAATTAGAGCATGTATATTAACTTATTTAACTTTCATGACATCCCCATGAGGTAGGTACTATTTTTAACTTTTAAAAAAATATGTTTTTATTTATTTATTTATTTTTTAGAGAGAGAGGAAGGGAGAGACAGAGAGAGAAACATCAATGTCAGAAAAACATCGATCAGCTGTCTCCTGTATGTACCCCACCTGGGGATCGAACATGCAATCTTGGCATGTGCCCTGACTGGGAATCAAACCAGCGACCTTTCTGTGCATGGGACAACACTCAAGCAATGGAGCCACACCGGCCAGGGCAGAGGTAGGTGCTATTTTTATCTGAGGCACATATAGTTTAAGTGACTTCCCAAGGTCACACAGCTGGTAGGAGGCAGTGGCAGTGATTGAACATAGAAAGTCTGGCTCCAGAGTCGGTATTCTATTTGCTCTAAAGAGCTGGAGCCTGGATGAGTCTCAAACAAAATTATTTTCCTATCTGTGTGATGTCATAATCTTTTTTTTGTTTTGTTTTATCCTCACCCAAGGACATTTTTGCATTTATCTTCAGATTGAGCAGGAGGGAGGAAGAGAGAGAAAGAGAGAGAGAGAAACATCTATGTGAGAGAGATACATCGAGTTGCTGCCACCCACACGACCCCATCTGGGGCCGGGGACAAACTGCAACCGAGGTACGTGTCCTTAGTGGGAACCGAACTCAGGACTCTCTGGTCTGTGAGCCAACGCTCTAACCACTGGGTCAAACCAGCCAGGGCTGATGTCATGATCTTTATTCCCATTATCCCTCTCTTCTCTGAAGTCTTTATCAGCATTATTTTACATTTACTTTATTGACAACTAACCAAATATTTTAGCTTAGAATAGTCAGATGTGACAACATTATTGGAGCAAGGAGTAGAGTCCTGGATGGCTGTGAGGAAGGGCCAAGAAGTTGGAACCCAAGAAGGTAAAGGCAGGAGGGAACCAACGTTGCTGGAAACAACCTCACAGGTCACAGAAGAAGAGAAGTGGGAACATCTGGGATGTTTGGAAAGGTCCCTACAAAGGACCAGGGCCTGTAGAGTGAAGGCCCAACACCTGCAAGGAAATTGAGGTCTTAGTTTGGGCTACCAAAGGAATTTCATCTTGATCTCATTTCCTACCCTCCTTGTTTTTCTTTGCATATTCTCCTCCCATTTCAGTGAGGAAGGTGTTCTTTTTTGTCTCCAGTGTAACCATTTTGCTTATTGAATTCATCTGATTTCCAAGCTCTTTTGCATTTCTCTCTGTGTGTGAGTAAATATATACATTCATTCCTAAATTTTGCAAATATTTTGCATGCCTACTCCCAGCCAGGCATTGTACTATCATGAACAAAATTGATAACTTGCCCATTCTCATGCAGTTTGTGTAGTCAGGGAGAAATATAAAATAAGTAAGTAAGTAAGTAAATAAATAAATAATGTAATGAAACATCATTCAGGGAAGGTAAATGGCATAAGAGAATAGAAAATGATGGGAATTGATAGGACTAATTCAGATAAGGTGGTCAGGGAAAGCTTTCTTGAGTAGGCACATAAAGCCTGGGATCACATTATATGACTGGGGGAGGAATATATCAGTCACAGGCAACAGCAAATGCAAAGGCCCTGTGGTTAGAAAGGAACTTTATTGGAGGATCTGTAAGGCCAGAGCAGTGGAGCGTGTACTAAGAAATTAGTCAAGAGATAGACAAGGATCAGATAGTACACAGTTTTGTCCTTGTTGTTCTTTCAGGAATTTGGGTTGTTTAGTCTCCTTCATTCTGAAACAGTTCCTACATCTTTCCTTGACTTGCATTCCTTGCTGCTTCTGAAGACTACAGGTCAGTTGATTTGTACAGTGTGGGTTTGTCTGTTCTTTCCTTATGATTATATTTATGTTATGCCTCTCTGGCAGAAATATCACAGAATTGATGCTGTGTTTTTGCATTCTGTCAGGTAGAGCAGATGATTTTTATTACTGCTGATGTTTTCTTTGAGCAATTGAAGTTGGTTGTATCTGTTGGCTTCCTCCTTATAAAGTTAATCTTTTTTCCTTTAATGGTATTTTGAGAGAAGGAACTTTGAGACTATTAAATATTATATTCCCCTTCAGACTTTCAGTTTATTTATATATTGGATTTCTAGTAAGAGGGTTGTAATCTGTTCTTTCCATTATTTATTTTGAAGCTCAAAATATTTGAGCTTATCCCAGATTTGACCATTGGGAACCCTGTCATGATGGCTTCTTTGTCATTTGGCATGTTTCCATCACTTTAAGCAGTTCATTATTTTCTGACACAACACGTTTCAGGCTAATCTTGCACTTTCCCTGTTCCAGCCTTAATATCAGCCATTTCTTAAAGGTACTCTGGTTCCGCCTTGGCTGGTTTGGCTCAGCGGTTGGAGCATTGGCCTGCGGACCAGAGAGTCCTGGGTTCAGTTCCCGCTAGGGGCACATACCAAAAAAAAAAAAAAAAAGGTACCCTGGTTCCTTGTAGTCGAGAATGGTATTTAGAAGCCAAAATCTGGGTACTAGCTTTGTTCATTGCTGCTGAGGGATGGATTCTCCCAGGCCCTCTTAGTGGACAGAACTAGTGAATATACTTATATACTACATACATACATATACATGCACACACATTTCCAGTTTGAGTTCACACAGATATCTACAATTCCAATCCAACACTACAGGTTTCTTTTTAACTTACTCACTTTCCACATTTCTAACTCCCTTCTCTGACAGTGAAAAACCTGGCTTTCAGCCCTGGCCAGTTTGGCTCAGCGGTTAGAGCATCAGCCTGCGATCCAGAGAGACCCGGGTTTGGTTCCTGCTAAGGGCATGTACCTCGGTTGCAGTCTGTCCTGGTTGGGTCGTGCGGGTGGCAGCCACTCGATGTGTCCCTTTCACATCTATGTTTCTCTCTCTCTCTCTCTCTCTCTCTCTCTCTCTCTCCCTCCCTCCCTCCCTCCCTCCCTCCCTCCCACTCTATCTGAACAAAATATGGAAAAGTGTCCTCGGGTGAGGATTAAAAAAAAACCAAAAAAACCTGGCTTTCATTATTCTTAATATATTTACTTATTTGATCAAACTCTCTGTATGTAACCAGCCTTCCATTACCACCACCACCTTAATCATATGATTGCCATTCTCACCCAACTTGGGCCATGCAGCCCATGCCAGGTCACACACAGACACTTGTCCTTATCCTACTTGCATTCTGACTTTCCACATGGGACAATCCTTTTTATATTGAACATCCCCCCCCCCACACACACACACACACACACACTGGTTGACACACACTGCTCTGGGTTTCATTTTATTAAGTCTTGACCCTTGAGTGTGCATTAAGAAAATATTTTGTTTGATAAAATAGGAAATATTTATTAAGTTCCTCTCCTGCATAGCAAAGTGTGATGGTTGCCTTGAGGAAAACCACTTGTGCAGCCCTGGCTAGTTTGGCTCAGCAGTTAGAGCGCTGGCCTGTGGTCCAGAGAGACCTGGGTTCGGTTCCCGCTAAGGGCACGTACCTTGGTTGCAGTTAGTCCTCGGCCCTGGTTGGGGTCGTGTGGGTGGCAACCAGTTGATGTGTCCCTTTCACGTTGATGTTTCTCCCCCCTGCCCCAACTCTATCTGAACAAAAAATGAAAAAATGTTCTCAGGTGAGGATTAAAAAAAACCCCACTTGTGCAGTTGTTTGAATTGTGAGTTAAACTAGCTGTTTTTTATGGAGCACCATTTTTTTCCTGAAAAAATGACTAACACACTATGGTTATCCAGACTTAGGTAGTTGGAAAATATTTTCCTGCAAGTGGACCTGCCATTTCAAGAACACATATTTGTTGCCAATGATAGAATTCAAACTTTCAAGTAAAAATTAGAATTGTGTGAAATTTATATCTACCATTTTGAGCTTTACAGCTTCTCAATACATATTTTTTTCCCTAATGAAGTAGGTGGTAATATTAATATGTGATTTTAAAAAAAAAAATCTTCACCCAAGGATATTTTTCCATTTATCTTCAGATAGAGTGGGAGGGAGAGAGAGAGAGAGAAAGAGAGAAACATCAATGTGAGAGAGACATAGCAACAGGTTGCCTCCTACATGACCCCGACCAGGGCTGGGGACTAAACTGCAACCAAGGCATGTGCCCTTTACCAGAATCGAACCTGCAACTCTGCGGACCAATGCACTGACCGCTGAGCCAAACTAGCCAGGGCTATGTGATTATTTTGATATTGTATAATGAAATATGTCAAATTCTCAAAGATCTGCACAGCTCAGTGAACCACTGTTTTTCAAATGACCAGTGCATGATATTGCAAAATTATGCATGGATAAAAGGTCATTCAAAGCTTAATGAATTATAATGTAACATAGTATGAAAAGTTCATGGGTATAGTTGCATATTCCACATTGCAGTTAACCTCTAAGGAACTACCACTTCTCAAGTTTTACTGTATTATCAAAGAAGAATATCCACAATGATCTGAACAGGCTTATAAAATATTCTTCCATTTTATGATTACATATCTGTGGGAGATTGGATTTTCTTCATGTACTTCAACCAAAGTAGCATTGCCCCAGATTGAATGCAGAAGCAGATATAAGAATCCAGTTGTCTTCTGTTAAATCAGATATTACAGAGATTTATGAAAGATTAAAATAAATACTTCATTAGTATTTTTTATTTTGGAAAATATAATTTTTTTCATGAAATATGTTAACATTTGATGATTTACTGTAAAAAGGTATAACCCATATAAACAAAAGCTCTTTTAGGTCCTCAATGATTTTTTTAAAAACATTCACAAAGAGCCCTGACCAGTTTGGCTCAGCGGTTGGAGCGTCGGCCTGTGGACCAGAGTCCCAGGTTTGGTTCCTGTTAGGGACATGTACCAAAAAAAAAAAAAAAAAAAAAAATTGCAAAGAAAGTAAACCTGTATTCATTTATAAACACTGTTAAACTTTACAAAAAAAAAAAACATTCAAGTACGAAGTAATAATAATGCAAGCCCTGCCCTGGCCAGTTTGGCCTGTGGACCAGAGTCCCGCGTTCGGTTCCCACCAGGGGCATACCTCAGTTGCAGTTTGTCCCCTCCCTGGTTGGAGTAGTGTGGGTAGCAACCAGTCGATACATGTCACGTTGATGTTTCTCTCTCTCTTTTCCCCCTCTCTCCCTCCCTCTCTATCTGAAGATAGATGCAAAAAATGTCCTCGGGTGAGGATAAAAAAAAAATAAAATAAAAAAATAATAATGATAATGCAAGCCCTTATATGGCAGTTCAAATTTATTGAACTATTTGTTGATGCTAAATTGTACAAAACTGCGCTCCAAGCATGGAGCTGAGATGGGACTAGATCATAACCTTCATTAGTTTCAGTTCATTTCTTGTTTCAAATTAGATATAAAATATCTTTCTTTGTTCTAAACTTTCCACATGACCACTGATGGGCTAACCTCTTTGAGTGTATTAGGATTGGAGCTAGATGGTTGTATTATAGCTTTAGTTAGCTTTGTTTCACTTCTTGTTTGAGAGCCCGTAGAGCCTTGGAACTTAGTAACTGCTCAGTCCGTAAGATTTCTTTTTTTCTAGCCCAACACCAACCACTCAGAAAAATTCTTGTAAGGGAGAATTATCCAGCTTAATGAAGTTATTTTTGAATGTTGAGATTTTCTAGATTCTAGTTCATCATGCCAGCCTACAAAGTCATTAAAAGTTCAGCTGCAATCACACCTGGGCACAGAAAACCTTGATTGATGCAAGGGCATATTTTAGTTTAAGGGACCATCTACACAGGAAGATGAGGGACTTGTTAAAGTGATCTTTGTCGAATCCTCCAGAAGACTGGCAAATCAGAACATTAAGATTACAAGAGCTGAAAAATCAAAATTGAATTTGGCAAGGAGAGACTTGATGCTTAGGAGTTCAGTAAGTCCACTAATCCAGTTAACTTTTGGGTATTATTTTCTTTTCTTTTTTTTTTTATCCTCACCCGAGGACATTTTTCCATTTTTTGTTCAGGAAGAGTGGGAGGGAGAGAGAGGAACAGAGAGAGAGAGAGAAACATCGATGTGAAAGGAACACATCGAGTGGCTGCCACCCGCACAACTGACCAGGGCCGGGGACAAACTGCAACCGAGGTACATGCCCTTAGCGGGAACCGAACCCGGGTCTCTCAGGACCGCAGGCCGACGCTCTAACCGCTGAGCCAAACCGGCCAGGGCTTGGGTATTATTTTCAATTCGTCTTTTATTTTTACTGTAGAGGGCATTTTTCTGGTAGAGGAAATAAAATGTGTGGTTTTCTTGTTTTTTTTCAGATTTGGAGTCAACATATGAGACCAAAAATACCTTTTCAGGAAAGAACATTTCTGAAATCAATTTTTCCCAGTGGGAGATAAAGGAAAGAAGTAAAACCCTTGGTCTTGAGGCATCCATTTTAAAAAATAACTGGAAGTGTAAAAGCAAATTTGAGGGAGTACAGGAACATCAAGAGGAATACTTCAGTCAAGTGATAATCGACTATGAAAAAATGCCCACTTACAAAAATAGTAAATCTCTTCTTGCACATCAAAGAATTCATAAGCCAGAGAAACCCTATGTTTTTAAGGAATGTGGGAAGACTTGTAGTCATGGTTCAAAACTTGTTCAACATAAGAGAACTCATACAACTAAAAATCACTTTGAATGTAAAGAATGTGGGAAAGACTTTTTTAGTGCCTATCAACTCACTATGCACCAGAGATTTCATACTGGTGAGAAACCCTACAAATGTAAGGAATGTGGGAAGACCTTTAGTTGGGGATCAAGTCTTGTTAAACATGAGAGAATCCATACTGGTGAGAAACCCTATGAATGTAAAGAGTGTGGGAAGGCCTTTAGTCGTGGCTATCACCTTACTCAACATCAGAAAATTCATATTGGTGTTAAATCTTATGAATGTAAGGAATGTGGGAAGGCCTTTTTTTGGGGCTCAAGCCTTGCTAAACATGAGATAATTCATTCAGGTGAAAAACCTTATAAATGTAAAGAATGTGGGAAGGCATTCAGTCGTGGCTATCAACTTACTCAGCATCAGAAAATCCATACTGGTAAGAAACCTTATGAATGTAAAGTATGTGGAAAGGTTTTTTGTTGGGGTTATCAGCTTACTCGACATCACATATTTCATACTGGCAAGAAACCCTACGAATGTAAGGAATGTGGGAAGGCCTTTAATTGTGGTTCAAGTCTTATTCAGCATGAGAGAATTCATACTGGCGAGAAACCCTATGAATGTAAAGAGTGTGGGAAGGCCTTTAGTCGTGGCTATCACCTTACTCAGCATCAGAAAATTCATACTGGTGAGAAACCTTTTGAATGTAAGGAGTGTGGGAAAGCTTTTAGTTGGGGTTCAAGCCTTGTTAAACATGAGAGAGTCCATACTGGTGAGAAATCCTATGAATGTAAAGACTGTGGGAAGGCCTTTGGCAGTGGGTATCAACTTACTCGACATCACATATTTCATACTGGCAAGAAACCCTACGAATGTAAGGAATGTGGGAAGGCCTTTAATTGCGGTTCAAGTCTTGTTCAACATGAGAGAATTCATACTGGTGAGAAACCCTATGAATGTAAAGAATGCGGAAAGGCCTTTAGTCGTGGCTATCATCTTACTCAGCATCAGAAAATTCATACTGGCGAGAAACCTTTTAAATGTAATGAATGTGGAAAGACCTTCAGTTGGAGTTCAAGCCTTGTTAAACATGAGAGAGCTCATACTGGTGAGAAATCCTATGAATGTAAAGAAGGTGGGAAGGCCTTTAATAGTGGGTATCAACTTAGTGTTCATCAGAGATTTTATACTGATGAGAAACCTTATCAATGTAAGGAATTTGGGAAGACTTACTCATGGCTCAAGCCTTGTTCAACATGAGAGAACTCATAGTAATGATAAACCCTATGAATAAAAGAATGGGGAAGTCTATATGGACAGCTTACTCAAATGAAACAATTGATACTGTGACACTTTGTGATTGAAAAGATGAAAACGTGTGTGTGTGTGTGTGTGTGTGTTTGGACGACTTAACAAGTGGAAAGATCTTACTCTGGATAAAACTTATGACTGTAGGGAATGTGCAAAAGCCTTACTTCTGTTTGGACAATTTGCTTCATATCAGGAAATTCATACTAGTAAGAAATATTTTGAACATAGGAACATGAAAAGGCCTATAGACTTCTGCACAACATTATTGAACATCAATTTATACTGATTTGAAACCATTTAAATGAAAGAAATGTATCTTTATTCATGACAGAGTCTGATAAGCATTGGAGAATTTATACTCATTAGAAACACTTTAAGGAATGTAGGAAGAACCTAAATCTAATTCAGTTCTTGCTCTGCACATCAGAGAATGTATCACTGCTGTGAAATTATATGGATATAAAGAATGCAGAAAGGGTTATAAATGTGGTAAGCATCTTAGAATACATCAGAGAATTCATCCAAATGAGAAACCCTTTGGATTAGAATGCAGAAACACCTTTAGACAAGTGCTACTCAAACTGTTATCTAGAGACTAGTGCCAGTCCACAAATTGTTACCTGTCCATCATGAGATAAATGCAGAATATGAGAGTAAGTGTTTGGAAACTTTTATAGCAATTTGATATCATGACATCATTGAATTTTACAAAAGTATCAATTAGTCCATGAATGATTGGAAATTAAAAACAGAAATTTGCACTTACCCAGAAATAATTGAAACAACATTCAGACTTTTAAAAATATGATACAGGCTATAACATGATTGAGTTAGAACAAGAAATCCCTCACTTGTCACCTACTTAGAATAGCAGAATATTCATGCTATAGGGAGATTTGGCTAATGTGGGAATCACAACTTCTTTATGCCCACAAAAGCATAGAGAATTTATACCAAGTATGTTCATTTAGTATATGTTTAGAAGCTTTCCAACACTATTCAGTCTTTGTTAAACTTTATTTTGAATAATAAATATCCATTATTTCTGTATTGTAACAAAGGTAGGAAGCCCCTTATCCATGGCACAAACCATACTGATTGTCACCACTATTTCACCTCCTTACTACCTGTGTGATGTGGACAAAATGTTTATCCCTTCTGGGCATCATCTTCAAAATACTGGTGATGATAGCTATTTAATAGTGCTTTTGTAAAGACTGGATGAATTTAGTATGCATCAGATCCTTGGAAGAATATCTGTTATGTAACCTATGTTCAGTACATATTAGCTGTTATTATCCTCATTATTAGTATTACTACTAGTGCATTTGTTTTTTTTCTTTATTGATTTTAGTGAGGAAGAGAGAAATAGAAACATCCATGAGAGAGAACATCGATTGGCCGCCTCCTGCATGCCTCACACTGGGGATCAGGCCCACAACTTGGGCATGTGTCCTGTCCAGCAATCGAACCAATGACCTCTTGGTGCATGGGTCGATGCTCAACCACTGAGCAACATCAGCCAGGCTACTACTAGTGAATTCTTAGGAAGGAAATGTTCATTGGTGTAATGAATTTAGAAAAGCTTTTTATAACCACTTATGATTTTAAACTTCAGATAGTTTATTCTGGATAAAATTTAGTAAAACAATCCAAGAGGGTTTTTATTCAGAATTTATCCCTTAAGCTGCGTAAGAAGTTAAGGCTGAAAATAAGTGTGGACTTAGCAAGTGTTAAAATGGGAATATACTGGAAGAATCAGGGAGTGGTATGAAGCAATTTGCCTGTAATGAATTCCAACAGATGGGTAGGCAATAATTAAAATTCTTTGTTCAAACTTTAAGATAAATTGGAAATTGCAAAGAAATAGAAAATGGCCCATTGAGAATTCTTTCCCAAAATCTTATGTCAATTTTCAGACTTTTAGACAAGTTTAAAGAATAGTATAATGAATATACTCTCTATCTAGAATCAATAATTGTTAACACTTGGCCATATTTGCTTTCTCTCTGAATATATGTGTATGTATATTCATGTACCATTTGATTTATGTATAAGTCATGATGGTTCATTCCTGAACATATCAGCATGCATCCTCTAAGAATAAGAACAATCTTACTCTTTAATACCATGGTCACTCAAGAAAATTATCAAAAATTCTGTAATACTCTTTTTTTTTTTTTTTAATTTAATTTTATTTATTTATTTATTTTTTTGTTACAGATATTTTACCTTTTTACCCCATTGGCACCCCCCCCTCCCCCCTGTCCCCGGCTTAGTTGTCCATGTCCATTGGTCATGCATACATGCATATAAGTTCTGTGGTTTATCTCTTCCCACCCCCCCACCCCCCATCCCCTCTTCTGAGGGATGTCAGTCTGTGCCCTACTTCCATGTGTCTGGGTCTACTGTATTCCTCAGACTGTTATGTTCATTATATTCCGTATATAAGTGAGATCATGTGGTATTTGTCTTTTTCTGCTTGGCTTCTTTCACTTAGGATAATACTTTCCAGGTCCCTCCATGTCGTCTCAAAGGATAAGAGATCTTTCTTTCTTACCGCTGCATAGTACTCCATTGTGTATATGTACCACAGCTTTTTGATCCATTCGTCTACTGGTGGACACTTGGGCTGTTTCCAGATCTTAGCTATTGTAAATAGTGCTGCTATGAACATGGGGGTACATATATTCTTCCTGATTGGTGTTTCAGGCTTCTTAGGGTATATTCCCAGCAGTGGGATCACTGGGTCGAATGGAAGTTCAATTTTTAATTTTTTGAGGTAGCACCATATTGTTTTCCATAGCGGCTGCACCAGTCTGCATTCCCACCAGCAGTGTATTAGAGTCCCCTTTTCTCCACACCCTCGCCAACACTTGTTGTTTGATGATTTGTTGATGGCGGCCATTCTGACAGGTGTGAGGTGATACCTCATAGTTGTTTTAATTTGCATCTCTCTGATGATTAGTGATGTTGAGCATTTCTTCATATGTCTCTTGGCCATTTGTATGTCCTGTTTGGAGAGGTGTCTATTCAGCTCCTCTGCCCATTTTTTAATTGGGTTCTTTGTCTTCCTTTTGTGGAGTTGTATGAGCACTCTGTATATACTGGAAATTAACCCCTTATCTGATACATCGTTGGCAATGATGTTCTCCCATACAGTGGGTTGCCTTTCCATTTTGATGATTGTTTCTTTTGCTGTGCAGAAGCTTTTTAGTTTGATGTAGTCCCATGTGTTCATTTTCCTCCTTTATTTCTGTTGCCTTAGGTGATGTATCAGTGAAAATTCTGCTCCGTATGATGTCCAAAATTTTGTTGCCTACATTTTCTTCTAGAATTTTTATGGATTCACGGGTCACATTTAAGTCTTTTATCCATTTCGAATTTATTTTTGTGTATGGTGTAAGTTGATGGTCTAGTTTCATTTTTTTGCATGTAGCTGTCCAATTTTCCCAACACCATTTATTAAAGAGGCTGTCTTTGCTCCACTGTATGCTCTTGCCACCTTTGTCAAATATTAATTGAGCGTATTGCCTTGGGTCCATTTCTGGGTTTTCAGTTCTGTTCCACTGGTCTATATGCCTGTTCTTGTGCCAGTACCAGGCTGTTTTGGTTACAGTCGCTTTGTAGTATAACCTGATATCTGGTATTGTGATCCCTCCAACTTTGTTCTTCTTTTTCAAGATTGCTGTGGCTATTCGGGGTCTTTTTTGGTTCCATATGAACTTTTGAAGTATTTGTTCTAGTTCTATGAAATATGTCGTTGGTATTTTGATGGGGATTGCGTTGAATCTATAGATTGCTTTGGGTAGTATGGACATTTTAATTATGTTAATTCTTCCAATCCATGAACAGGGTATGTGCTTCCACTTTTTTATATCTTCCTCTATTTCTTTTTTCAATGACCTGTAGTGTAATACTCTTCTATTCACTTCATATTTCCCAGTGCTCCCAAGATTTCATCCTGTTACTATTTATTTTCTAGCCAGCATCTTCTCTATATTCATGCATTGCATTTGGTTGTCATGTCTCTAGATTTTAGTCTTGAACAGACTTTTTGAAAAGTTCAGGAAAGCTATTTTATAGAATGAATACATTCTAGATTTGTTTCTTTCCCCACGGTGAAATTTAATTTGTGCCCCTGCCCTTCATATCTCATAAAATCCAATCAGAGCTAGAGGCTTAAACATTTATGGCCAGAACACTTCATAGGTGGTGATGTGTACTTCATATTGCAATACATCAAAAGCACATAATATCTATTTTCCCACTATCACCAATGTTAAATTTGATCACTCAATTAAGACAGTGACTGCTGGAGCTCTGAATTGCAAAGATCCATGATACAACTAGTGGGATTGGTGGACCTTGGTCAACTACTTTTGGAAATATATAGTCATGTATATATATTCTGAATTAAAGAGGAAATAGAAACCATTACTGATTCTTTATAAAAGAATGATAACAAAATAATTGTATGGGAACTTGTAGGATGTAGCTGAAGTCCTACTGAGTGGAAATCTAATACCCAGATGGAGGGCCAGAACTAGGCCTCATTTTCCTCAGTGTGGTCCCTGTCACACTGAATTAAGAAGCTAGAAAAAAATAACAAACCCTAATCAAGTTACAGAAGGAATTACTACAAATAAAATTTGAGATTATTGATTAAGAATTAAAAGCAATAGTCTTAAGTCACAGTTTTTCTGTGAAAAGGCCATTTACCTCTCAACTAGACTTCAATAAATCTAAACAAGGAAACTCAAGAAAGAAAGATGGCAGTATTATAGAATCATGAATAAAAAAGGAAGTGTAATTATAGATATGGAGGAGACTTTAAATGTAAGGTAATACAATGCACTTAAGTCTACTTGAGCCAATAAGCAAAAGAAAAGGTTGAAAATTTTGATCTAGGATCTCCCTTTTAGAGATCAACTACAGTCCTCAGCTCTACCAGCTGAGCTATCGAAGGGACATAGGATCTCCCTTTTAGAAACAACACTTGTGTGCCGTACCCTCCCCTGTTAGACAACACACGTTCATAGGGAACCTGGTGCTAAAATATTCATAGACCTTCTGGGTTGGGGTTTTGTGTGTAGTAGAGCAGCTCGGTTGCTGTGATCTATTGAAAGCCCTCTACACAAAAGCTTATGGGGAAAAAAAGTAGAAACCAACACTTGGAAATGGTTAGCTCCTTAGGTAAAAATTTTTCAAGGT